TTTTCTGGGTTGAGGTTTATAAATCAATGGATCGTATTAATAGGTATTTGGCTACTTTTGCATTTGCACAGCAACCAAAAATCACGTTGCAGCCACAATGGCAATAATAATAATAAATCTTAGAGCCACGCTCAATGTGCTGAATGCTTCTGTATCTGTATCTGTAGTTGTATCTGTATCTGTAGCTGTATCGATATCTTTCGCTATGACTGTGTGCATACGTCCATTGATCGATTTGCTTAGCGGACGCAACTAACGACACCTTTGGCATAGCAATCGGCGACTGCGACCAGTCACAGTTGGGGAGTGGAACGTGACTTTAGCCGGCCACCGTTCTATATGCATGGTTAGCTCTAATGTGTTTATAGCTATGCCCAGTTCGCATTATGCGTGGCATCAATATTCATTATACACGGACCGATACTATATGCCATACGCTGGGCTTGTGTCGCATTCATAAATAAGGCGTGCGCAAAAGAAATTGAATTTCAAAAAAAGAAATATTTTAAAAAGAGCCGCCCCAGAACAATGGCGCAATTGCTCATTGCGTATACGCCCCATGGTCCCCTCTGAAACCTTTATATATCATGAGTCTGATATGAAATCTAGCTGCTCATCTGCATAATTTATAGAATTCTATTCGGACTTTAGCTATGCTTTTTAAGGCTAGCATAATTTTTGTTATTAATGCTACGTGATGCCTCACTTATTAATTTATTAATTATTTGATTCTCTTTCTTAACGCGTAATCCGCGCTCCATAGCTGCGATCTTTGCTCGGCGATTTCCTACTTGTGGATGATTCACAAAACAGTTTGTTGCTCGAAATCGATTCGCTTGATTCGAATTTGTTTATTGAAGCTGTTTGTGAAACTCTTGTGCTAGCTTCTTGACGCGTTTTATGATTCTTCTTCTCTTTTTTGTTACTTCCGCAAATATTTCAATAAGCGCAGGCAATTATATGGAAATAAATGCCAATGCTTAAATTTAATATTTCCGTTTAATCTTTTGTGTTGCTGCTTTTATAAAAACAAAACAAATTTGCCATTTTGCTTTTATATGTAAAATCCTTTTGTTGCATTAGAATATTGTTCTAATATTTCTGCATTGGGCATACACTCACCTTTGTTGTACTCGACTAGAGATATGTATGTATATGTTTATATATATATTTGATGCACAGGTAAATTCCGTTCGTGTTGAAGAGCTCCTTCGCTTAGAGATTAATTGCTTTTCAATTATCACCACACACCAATTACGAGTTACGAATTACGCACTCAATAGTTCGTTAAGCATCCCTATAAGGATGTTCGATATTTGTTTATATGGCTACACACACGGCACATCCACGATCCGCAAAGAATGCACGGCGTATGATAGTACGGAACGAGTCGCAGAGCGTTTTTAAGCTAGGCTAGTTCAAAATTGATATATATATATATATATATATATATATATATATATATATATATTTGTATATATATTCGCACACACCCGATCTACAACAGCGAAGTCGAAGAGCTGAGAGTTCGGCTTTGGTGCTCCAATGCTGACGAACAACAGTGCCTCAAATAGTTAACAACACCGAATTTTAAAGCCGATTTTATGAACACTCGGTCATCCGCTCGGCTCGGCTCTGTCTACGGCTCGTTGGCAATTCTTGGGCTGTGACGAGCGTTGTCTTTGGGATCGGGGCAGCGGTTGCGCTGACTCGCTTATGTGATTTTTTTTTTGTATTTTATTCATTTTGGCTTAATGCACGACGCGTGGCTGAGGCTGATTTTGGGCATAATATTAAGTAAACCGATTTAGATAAAGGCGGCTAAGTAAATTGTATGTAACCGCAATTGAGTTTTCGTGAAAAGCAGTTGTTGTTGCGGGTGGAGCGGGGCAGAAGCCATGAACCGTCATGAAATTAGCATTTAGCCATGCACTCGACGTCTCGTCTATTTGGCCGAACTCACGTAGGCCTCTTCAGGCCCGGACTCTCGCGTCAAAGTTGCCCAACAACATTTTTTTTTTCGTTTTCTTTTTTGTTTTTTTTTTTACCGTGGACTCTTCTTATCTGCCCGCTCGCGACTTTGGCTTACTCAACAGGGTCGGCAATTTCGGTTTCGGTTTCAGTTTTAGTTTTAGCTGCAGGTCATGCACTATCCACCTATCGGTCAAGTTGAGCGCGTTGGCTGCTTAACTTGTTTTAGCTGTCATTTGGCGTATTTCATTTACTTTTTAATATGCATGCCAACTGGCTAATAACAGCATTTGACACATCAAATTCTTGATTTACTTCAATTTTATGTGGCACACATGTATTTGCGCGTTTATGCGACTGCCGTCTCTCGCAAAAGCGGGCGCGTGTTGGACTCAAACAACCTATTCTAATTTCAAGTAATATGTATGATATGTTTTGTGCCTTAAAATATACACGTACACTATGTGCTTCGTCTATTCTTTAAGTATGCAATATAATTTTAATAGAACTCTGATTTTTCTATAAATTACTAGAGAATTGTGTAGCATTATAGAAGAGAACTTATTGTTGTTGATTATAATTATTATTATTGTCTTACATAGATTTAATTATAAATATATATTAATATTGTTATTTGTCATTATCTACAGACAATTTAACCCACATTTTCTCTTAAGTCATAATTCTGGCCGCACCCATTCCTTCTCAATAAGACGAGGACTTCCAAGAGAGTTTTAGGCTCACCTTTATGCACTATTATTTAATTTTATATTTTTTAACGTCTATTTTGTTTTCTATTGAAATAAGAAGAAACTTTAAATTGGCTAGAGCCTTCTTTTCCAGATCTCGAGATTCGCACTTCAAGCCCAGATTCCCTTTTCTCTATAGCCTCAAGGACTTAGTTATTAGAGAATGTTTAATAAAATATTTATAATACAAAATAGAACGGTAATTCTTGTTCTATTAATAACTTGGGATTCATATTATGAACTCATACAATTCTAAGCACAATAATATGAATATAATTAAGAAGATGGCAAGAAAAAACTTATTTGAAAAAAATTTAATAACTGAAGACGTCTTCGTCCAGCTCTTTCGAGACGTTTCCACAAAGTTTCTGCCGTGAAAATATGACTGAAAAGCTGTTGACCTGTTTTTTTTTTTTTTTTTGGTTTTAATCTTCACAGTTTGCTGGCGATTTTTGGTCTAGTTACAGTTCTAAAATAAGCATTTCATGACCAAACTTAATTGCTGTTTAATCCGCGTCAATATTTGGCCACTCACAAAGTGACAAAAGTCCGCAAAGACTCAAGCCGAGGCCTCTTGGGCCAATAATTATTTGTACTTATTTCTTGTGGCGCGACAGTACAAAAAAACAAAAAAAAAAACAAAAAAAGAAAAAATAAGAAATAGAAAAAAAAAATGTTTACAGTTTTCAGTCAGATGTTTATTGTCGAAATGAGTTGTGTCTAATTTTGTTTAGTGACGGCCACTAAAATTGTTTACTATCCGGACAGACGGGGCCCGGCTATCTCTAGGTGTCAAAAGGCCCACACGGTGAGCTGTCATTTTGCAACCTGCTGCAATAGCTGAAGGTCGCCAAGTGGCAGCCAACTGTTGCACACAGTGTGGTTGAGTATGCTCTCGCAACAGTCAAGTCGCACATACATCTACTCTACACTCTACTGTCAACTGTCAACTGGCAACTAACTTAACTAGCCGTCGACTGTGTTCAACCGGTTTGTCTGCCGAGTTGGGCGTCATTTACAAGTTCACGCATGTGCGACTTTTAATAGTGTAATCAACATTATCAAAACATTAATTTGCAGCACGTGCTCACGTGTGCGTAAAACAAATATTGAATAAATGCTCATTAAATGGGGCATTCAACTTGTTTTATGCACTTGCTGAATGAAATATCAGCTCTTTGTGTATTTTTTAACTGAATGAAACTTAATCTATAAAATAAAGAGCAGGGTATTTGGAGGACGTGCCTAAAAAGCAAATTAGATCAAACCGAATAATAATATTAATGCTAAATCGAAAATATTTAGCCAGCTTGCGATGTCTACTTTTGTGCCACTGTGCAGCACATTTAGTGTATGCAACATCAACATAAAATGTAACCCCTCGAAGAGGTCTTAGCCTTCCTGAGAGTAATTGAAAGGCTGCCAGCAGTTAGCAGCTAATGGCCATGTCGCTGCCAAAACACTTAATGACTTGCAGCATTAAAAAACCAAAAAATACAAAAATATATTAAAGAAACAAGCCCCATCTATAAGATGCACAAAGAATCGTGTTTAGCCAACAAAGCAGCCAAGGTGAAGCCAAGAACATTTGCGAGTTCTTGAACCAAGTCAATTATCCAAAACAACTCTGTTATTTAGTTAACTCACAATTAACAACAGCGCCTGTTTAACCTTTTGGCTTGACATCAATTTCACTCTGTGTTTATACCCTGTACGTGTTGCAAAGGTGAGTATATTAGCAGTAGAAGGCCGCACAAGGGTTCGTCGATAATCGATAATCCTGCTTACCGCCATGAAATCGATAAATATCGCTTTTGAGATTACTTTTTTTGAGCGTATCTGGCAACCTATAATTGCCTAAAGCCATCAAATTTCGCATAGATAAAGATAAAGATACTCAGATCGTATATACAAAAACGGAACCGTTCACTTTTGAAATACCTGCCCCTTCGCCATGGGAATATTTTGTCAAAGCTATAGGGATTCAACCTTGGCTTGATGCCCGCTCACAGCTTGATATAGGGTATCCTACGTTCGACTAATCTTACAGATTTCTCCTTTTTATTATGTAAAATGTTATGTGTTGCTTGAACTATTTGTAAGGCAAGTTAATTGAAATGCGGCCCGCGGGACGTGCATAAAAAATTTAAAACTAAAATTGCAAATGCACAGATCAATAAGACGACAAGCCAAAGGCTGCCTTTCCAAGTCTAAGGTGCGTGAAAACCTAATTCAGGCTGGATCGCTTCAAGTCAAATGCTTATGTAAATTGCGCAATGAGACACAGCCACAGGAAGTACGCAATGTCACACGTTCAAGTCAACAATACGCATCAAATGTGCCGTGTAAATCTGTTGAGACAAAACAAACACAGCACACAAAAGGGTTGCAACAAATAAAACCAAATGTACAAACAAGCTGGATGTCGCATAACAACTTTTTGCTGTAGAACATGTTTCTTTATCTAAAGATTATCCAGCACACAAGCATCAGGCATTCATTGGGTTGAACGATCCAAAAGGTAGGCCAGAACAAATCAAATCCATTAGAGCTCAATTAAAGACACGATTCTTATGTGCACACAGACAAATATACAATCATACATACATACATTCACACATGTATTTGCAGAGAGTCATAAAAAGTACCCAAAGCTATGTAAAGTTAAGGCCATGCGTGATGCTATTTAGGTACCCAATCGGGTACAGTCTCTCACATAATACTTGAAACCAAGTTGAAGTTTGCTCTGAGCAGCCAAATGTGAAGCAACATTAATTAGTTGTAATGCTAAGCATTTGGTACTTATATTTTCAAATATGCCCAAGTGCCAAAGTTCATGAACAAAAGACACAAATGCGAAGCTTCCAACAAACCATTATCTGGTGCTCGTCTCACATAAACGATCAATTTGGTAATCGAGTTTTATTCAAACTAAATTTAAGAATATTCACAATAATAATGCGCACACTATCTCGATTTTAGGTGAGAAAAATGTGCAAACACTTTTTTTTCTCATATATTTGACTTTTTCCAATTTTCTCTAGAACTTTAATGGGTTTTGTTTTCGAGAAACCTGTTAAGAAAAAATAAAACTCAAATGAATGCAAAATTGGGTAAAAAATGGAGTAGCTGCCCGAGCATATTAGCAAATTGATCACGTGCCAAAAACCCGCGGCATATACAACTTTACGTCTGAAATTATTCTTTCCCAGTTTTTATTGGCATCGTTTCCGTATACGCTCCGTCTTCGAGCCGTTGCTGGGTGCTGGCTAAGAGCTTGACCAAAAAAAAAAAAAAAAAACCTTTACTATTTTCATTAACAACTCGATCATGTTTGGCATATGGATATAGGGTTCAAAACCGCATGCTGTTTAGAATTCAGAGGCGGATCGCAGACAATCCGCAGAACCTGATTCGTGTTTTAAATATGTATGTATGTATATTGAGAGCCTGGGCCAGTGGTAGCCAAGCCACTTAGAATTTAATTCGGGATTTCTAATATTAAATTTTTGAATTCTTGTTATATTAAATATGCACAAATGTCTGTGTGTGTACACACAAAAATACATACAGCTCGTCTAGTTGTGTTCATAGTGAAACAAAAAAAAATACTCAGAATTGTATTGATATTGATCGATGGACAGCGGCCCTTAAAGTGTCTGGACTAAACCAGTTGGGCCAGTTACTAAAGTTAACTAAAAACAAATACACGCTGAAGACAAGGCCATAGCTAAAATATCTGGAGTATGTCCATCATAGCATTTAATGGCACTAATATTTAGGTTTATAGTCAGTTTAATGATATTCCACGTTTGATTTATTGCTCAGCATTGCGGGATTCGTTTGACTAGAACAAGTTTTCTTCTTTTATAGCGGACCTTGACATTGGTTTGAACTTAGAATTAACATATAGAATATTACATAGAATATGCATATATTATATATTTAAATAAGGCATCGCCGCAGGCTTTGCTATCTAACAAAATTATTATTTATTTCAGTCGATTATTACAGGCCAGAGGCATTGGACATGGACTTGTTGGGCTACTTCCGCCCTTTGTCTTCCGCGTATCGAGCAAGCGACCTGCAAATGTAACTGTAAGGAATCCAAATATTTGAAAATAAATAAGTTAGCATATTAAAGAAGTGGACTCGACCACTACGAAAATATGTAAATGGATACAAAGTCATATAAAAAGGCCAAAGTCGCGCAAAATCGAAGTTCACCTCGCTGCGTCATGCGGCCGCAGCCCCAAAGAAGAAACCAAGCCGAAAACCCAACCAAAAAAAAATGAGTAAAAAAAATAAACATTTAAAAATCGAAAAACCCATCTATTCAATTGATTGCTGGCTCAGCTGTTGGTTGATTAAACATCAGGAAATACAAAATGCTAAGCAGCTAAAGCAAACTGTAACAGGGCCCAAAGAAAAACAAGTTCTCAGGCCAAAAAGCAAACGCCGTTGATAAGCGGCCAATATACAAACGTGTTCGCATTAGACCGTTGCACGAAAATCGACAACAAAAAAACAAAAAAAAACAAAGAGCAACAAGCAAAAAATATTAAAAAATCAAATGAAAAAAAAAAAAAGAGACCCAATAGATTAGTTAATTAATGCGTCTCCATGGCAGCCACTGAGTCTTCGCAATTCGCATTTGCATTGACATTGACTTTGACCGAGAAAATAAAATCGAAGCCAATGCGGCGTATACTTGCTGTGTGCATGCTTCTTCTTGTGCCTGCGTGTGCGTGCAAGTGTGTGCACCTCGAAGTTTTGGTTGCGCTACAAGCACTGGCCAAAGTGTGCGCTTAATATTTTGTGCATATGCAAAAGAATAAAGAAAAAAAAAAAGTAACAAAAAGACAGCCAGGAAACAACCTCGAGCAAGTTGTCGGCATGTGATTTGAATTTAAGGCAGTCAAATTGCATTTCATGGTTCAATGCAATTGTGCTTTGTGTTATGTAACAGCCGGCCCTGAGCACGTTGCGGTTAGAGTTCTCGTGTTGACAACACTTAACATTCATTCATAAGCACATTTACGCTGGGTACGCACCGTTGAGCAGGCGGCCACCCAGCGTAAATTGTTGTAGCTGCAGCTGGCGTATTCATTGGGTCAAGTTTAAAATGGCCCAACAACATGTTAGAAAAATTACTCAAGACTAGATCAAAAAACGGCATTGACCGTCTTACTTAGCTTCCAGCCAATGGCCATAGCATAATACATTATAAATAGAAGAGTTTTGATGCGATAAACTAAAGTCAGCAGGTTATTTGCAATCTGTTTTATTTTTTTCTTATTTTTTTTTTAGCATGGGGTCGCACTTTTGCCGAAACTGTTGCTTATGCTAATGCCGCTAATGCTGCTGCGCCGGCGCGGCATTGTTTATTGTTATTTTCTGTATTTCCTGGTTTGTCAGTTTCGTTGACGGTTGAACATTATAATCGATAATTTGCTGTGTATGAAGCGCTGATACAAGCATTGACCTCAATATGTGAGTGTGTGTGTGTGTGTGTGTGACTGTAAGCGTTGCGCATACATACACATTTTTTTCGATTTATAAAATTCTTCTTTCTTAATTGTGTTTGAAAATGTTCAGCACAGTTTTGGCATTTACCAATTATGATATAACGGTTTTAAGTTCAAATGGACAAACGATAGGCGTACTATCGTTGTGACGATATTTTTTGCAGTCTCTAAAAGAGAATACATATTTATAATGTTCTTGAATTTGAATTGTGAATCGGATTTTTTTGTTATAGCGCTATTTGGATGAATGTTCATTACACCTTACAGCACCTTAAGAAATTTCAAATTGGATTTCAAAAAATTATGCCGATCAAAATAACCAATATTGACTGTAACGGTTTTGCATATGACAAAAATTCTAAAACGATTCTTTCGTTAACATCGATATGGCAAAAACTATCGAAACTAGGGGAGCATTTGGGAGCTTGCCAGACCTTTTAAAATGTAATAAATTGTTATGGACATTCGGTCACACTTGCACCCTTATCTCACAAATGTTGCCAAATTTAATCTGCTTTGTTTTGTAAACCACTCATATTGCTATATAGTATTTTGAAATTAAATTGTTTCTTGCGCGATCGGGCATGCGGAATATGCTCTCAATTACAATTCGCGCACAGCCAGCAACAAAGCAATGACAGTTCGCGGCATAGAAGCCATTAAATTGTACATGCCGACGTCAAAGGCAGACGCAGCAGCAGCCATAAAAACAAGCATACGAGAGGAAACGGGTAGGGCCATAATAGAACCTGTTGTTAACAAAGGTAACGCCATGACATCTGTGGAGCGATATAGACAGGAATGGTCACAATTGCTGGCCAATTTGGATGAGAACCCAGAAGCCTTGCGCTTAGCTGCCTTCAGGGGGCAACTGAAAATGTCAAAGTTTCGCAGCATCCATTGGGCGCTCCTGCTGCGAGTGTTAAACGCAGATCATCGCAGCTGGCACAGCCAGCGTGAGCAGCAACGCAGCCGGTGAGTCGAGAAGTATATGCTGATTGCACAATAAAGCAAATAAATTCTTGCTCTTGCAGATACGATAAGTTTCGTATGGACTATGTACGTAATCCTCACGAGCTAGTGGGACCCGAAGACGATGATCCATTATCGCAATCCACACAGAGCATCTGGAATCAATACTTTAGCGATCAGGAGCTATTCGCGGTCATACGTCAGGATGTGGTGCGCACTTTTCCGGGTGTCGACTTCTTTCGCAAGCCCCTCATACAAAATGCCATGACGAACATACTCTTCTACTATGCACGGGAGCATCCGTATATGTGCTATCGCCAGGGCATGCATGAGATCTTGGCGCCCATTATATTTGTGCTCTACAGCGATCATCAGTCGATGTTGCACTTCAGCGAGATTGCCAAGACGAACATAAATGAGACATTGTTGAATGTGCTAGATCCGGCATTTCTCGAGGCGGACACCTAGTGAGTTATGCACTTGGATTCGTTTTGGCCGTTGGAATCATCTCTTTCTCATTTTGATAGCTCCATCTTCTCCCGCCTAATGTCTTCGGTGGAGTCGTACTACCGCGTTACCAGCATAGTACCCACACCCGACGGCCACATGGAGATGCAAACATTGGACGAGGTGAACCATTGCAATCAATTTCTTATTTATTTCAAGTATTAATTGTCGTTTTTACAGCTCTCGGGCGCTGACGCTGAGCCACAATCAGAGGTTGAGGTTATCAGTCAGCTGAATTTCATACGTGATAAAATACTGGCCAAGCAGGATCAACATTTACATCATTATCTGCTCAAAATGGAAATACCATTGCATATATTTGGCATGTAAGTGGCCGCCATTGAAGCACGCTAAAAATCTCAACATTTTCCAATTATCAGCCGCTGGCTGCGCCTGCTCTTTGGGCGCGAGTTTATGCTGCTGGATCTGTTGCTGCTGTGGGATGCCATCTTCGCGGACAGCGATCGCTTTGATCTGCCCAACTACATACTGGTGGCTATGCTGGTGCACATACGGGATAAGCGTGCGTAATGCCTTAGATGCATAAAGCGGCTGCTCATCCATTTGATTTCTTGCAGTTCTGTTGAGTGACTACACGACTTCGATGACATATCTCATGCGCTATCCTAGCCATGTGGATGTCAATCTGGTGCTGCGACATGCCTTGCATATGCTCAATCCCAAGCAATTCGAATATCCAACGAATGCGTTCTCTTGTGTTTCCTTTTCCAACAATTTACCCGCAGCCGGTGCACCCGCATCAGAGTCACAGGGCACCAATCAGCGTGTGCGTACCAGTTCCGAAAGTTCAAATGTTGCCAGCGGCAGCCACATTGATCGCCATATCACCTACATGAAAGCCCGTAATGCTGAGAATTCCGCCGCATTGGCCAAGCTACAAGATGTTAATCACGTTGCCATGGATGGTTACCTAGCGGACGTAAGTTTGATGGATTAACTAAATAAAATGCAAACGCGATCCATGTTTGCTATTCCAGAGTCCTGAGCTAATGCGCCTGGAGCTAAAGAACGCACAGACTGTCATCAAAATAGCGCGCAGCAAGCTGTTCAATTATTTAAACACTGTGCGCCAGCACATGGGCAAGCAGGGCAACGAGGAGCTCAATCGCACTCTGGATGGCATTGAAGAACTCTGCAGTTTTCTCGATGTCAAATTCGTATTCCCCCTGCATGCGAGCACCGCCCCAATTGACGAGGCACTGGAGGCCAATGAGCGCAAGCAATTGAATACCACTAGAACCAACAGCGCCATAAGCACGCCGGCAATTAACCAGATGTCACCGTCGCCACCCGCTGCCAGTGGTTATGAGATGCCTGAGAATGCCTTCATGCACAACTCGACACGACGGCTCCTTGGGGATCGCCGAGAAATTGAATTGTCGACCATCACCAGCGACGAGAGGCCGGAAACAATGGTGCTGCAAAATGGTTTGCCCGCGGCTGAGCCGCAACAGCGGCCGCAATGATGCATTGCCGCCGCCGGCTGCCAACGACTGAATATGTTAAAACTAAGTGAACAATTTGTGAATCCTTAACCTTAATAATTCATTTTTATTTGTATGAATTACAGCAGTCATTACAGGAAATAAACGGATGCATACTTGAAGTGCTGAAATACTTATAAATGTATAACTGAACAATGTCAAAATGTTGTGTACGTGCTATAAGTCTAATATATAACTTAAGATATTTTTAATATAAACATGACAAAACTGATAGTAAACTTAACTAGAGTGCAAACCATATCAATCAAACAGCTCGTATGACATTTACGAACCCATTTAGAGTTTTTATAAATTATCATGTTCGTATTATGCCGAAGAACACGAGAGAAAAAAAGATTTTTTAATTATAGACTATCTGGCATTAATATTTGAACAAGATGGTTGAGTTGAGTCCATTTAAATTTCGCGAAATCAGGCAATATATACTATTAAAATATGTGATGCAAATATTCAACAGAATATGTAATGCACATGCAAAGCGAAATTTGATTTCTAGACAGCTTTTGTTATGCTGGAAAACAATTGGGGGGGGAAGCCGTAACTACTTATCCTACTTTTCTTTTAACGAAACGTGCTGCTGAGCCTTATGGTTGCGTCGTTCTGTTGTTGGCGGGCAGATGTCGCACCACTGCTCGGTTCGCACTCAATGCTCGCAGCTGCGCCTGTGCTTGAACATGGGCCGGCGTAAGCGCTGTGCTGCCACCGCCGCTCGAATAGCGCATGGACAGTTTCTGCTGTTGACTGATCTGGTGCGGCTGCAGCTGGTGATAATGCTGTTGCGACTGCTGCTTCTGCTGTCCAGAGTTTTGGAACGTAATTAGCTTGGTGCTGGTGCCATTGTTGACTCGAATTTTACGATACAAGGGCGTGGAGCCACCGCTACCGCTGGACGTGCCATTGCTCAAGTCCGAATGGACGCTAGAGTTGGAATTGGGTGGCGTGTGCATAACAATTGAATTGGGCGTACCATGGTTCGACTGCTGTCCGCTACGCTGCATCAAGGGCGATGAATGACCGGCGCTATTCATGCTGTTGCGCACATTGCTGGGATTTGCATTTGGTGTGGTCAGCTTGTTAATAGGCACAATGCGCAGGGCATCCGAGGCGTCCTGTTTAGAGGTGCCAACCTGCACGGAGGAGGGCAGGTAGCGACGTATGTTGAGTGGCACCTCCTTGACGCGCCCATTAACAGACGGTGCTGCCGAAACAGTTACGGTTGATGCGGGTGGACTCGGATTGGTACGAATAGTAGGGCGCTGCTTGGGCGTTACGGTCAACTCGGATGGATTGCCCGCTATATGGTTGTCGTTAGACAATGACTGTTTCGACTGCGCCGGCGAATCTTCCATCAAATCGTCAATGGTTATAGATGAGGATACTGACTCGGGCGAAGCGGGAGGCACATCCAATACCTCCTCAAAAGTCATGCGATCTGAAGTTCGCCTGGTTGAGCTATTCTCTGCAGTTGATGACGCTGTTGTTTCATTTAACTGTAGCTCACTTCTGGTCTCCACTTCCGGTTCGACGATTGTGGGCACTGAAGCGTTCCGCTGCATGCCGCGCAGTTCCAAGTCGCAAACGATCTGCATAATTTTGGCCTTGCCCTCGGCTGCTAGATCCCCAGGCAGGGTTTTCATGGTCTGTGTTATGCTCTCGAAGAACAGATCTATGGTATCGCGTGGCTGTGCAGCAAAAGAGTTTGCCTCTACGTGATTACGTGATGCTATGACGGGTGATTCGTTCTCACGCTCTAGTGTACGGAGACGCGACACAATGTCAAAAGAGGAGCATATCATGTCCTTAGCCATATCCAACTGGCTGCGCTCATCGTTTCGTTTGCCCACAGAGTCGCGCAGTACGCGCAATATGCGACGCACCTCCAGCGAACGACGCATTCGCTTGGACGGCGGCTGCTCCCCAGTGCTGTACTCTGATCTAGAGAGAAGCGGACTTCAATTAAATTGATAGTGTACAATTGCTGCATTCATTTACTTACTTGAAGCTTAGGGCCTCATCGCTCTCCTGGTCCATATCCATGACAGATGCGGCAGGTTCCGCAACGTTGACTCCCAGTGAAGTGACTCCGCTGTTATTTCTAAGTCGCTCCAACTGCTCAAGATGTTTGCGTGATCCATCGTGCTGGCGCAAATAGAACAGCTTGATGGGCAGCCGAGTATCGCATATTTTGCAATGGCAATGATTCTCATCTGTGGCATCCGGCTCCAACCAATCGTATTTGGCTTGCAATTCTGCCATTGCGGCTTTATTTTTCGCCTCGCCTGTTGCCAACGCTGGCGTTGTTGGTGTGGACACAGACGCTACATCCGTGGGTGGCATACGTGCTGCTTTCTTACGCTCAAAGCGTAGCCGAACATGACGCGTGCTTCGCTGATGCTTTGAGGCGTACTTGAAGCTGGGCAAGAAGACAGACACCTCGCACAGCTTACACCAGCCGTAGTTGTGACGCGGTTCGCTCCGCTTCCAAGAGAGCCATGGAAAGCGATCCTTCCAGACCATCACCTTGCCTTGCATGGTGGCAGGCACGGGCTTGTGTGCCGCTTTGTTGGTCACTTTGGGTTGATTGCTAACTTCAGAGTTATTGCCCTCAGCAACTGCTGCTGAATCAGCATTGCTCTGCTCCTCGTCGTTTTCCTCCTCGTCCTCGGCTGCTTCACCCCCTGCATCCTCCGTATGCTTTTTGCGCGCTTCTTTGCGGCGTGCTGTCTGTCGCACCTTATACTGATGTATTAGCCTTTGGTGGCGAGCGCTTTGTTCATGACGAACCTTGGCCCACTCGCTGCTAAAGCGCACGCGACAAAATTTGCACTGCTGTATTTTGCGATCTCTGGAGTAACGCAACCACCAAAAATGCCGCACCACGCGCTTGGTCTTGCGCGACTCGGCAGTCACTTCTGTGGGCCTGTGTTGAGAAATAAAAGGAATTTAATAACTACTGATACTGCCACAGACAGAGAACGAGAGAGGGTGATTCATACTCGGCGGAGCTTCTGGGCGTCGTGGAGAGCTTGTCATCCTCATCAACATAATCGTCGTCGCTACCCTCGCTTTGCGCCTCCGACTGTTCCTGTTCGCTTTGTTCCTCCTCGTCGTTGTTCCGTGCTTCTTCAGTTGCAGCAGCAACTGAGGCAGCCACCGCAGCCAGATGCTTTTCTGAATTTTCATGAGTTTTGCGTTTGATTTCAGAATGTCCATATATGAAGCGCCTCGAGCAAATATGACAGTAAGCCAGCGTGGGATCAGTGGGATCGGCCACTAGCCATGGATGCTGTTCTGCATACTGTGCCCAAATGCCTCGATTCAGCTTAGACCTGACGAAAAGCAAGAATTTAGTAGCTAAAAACTAAAGCCGTGAATAATTATTTTACGCACGACTGAGTCCCCTTGTGTGCAAATAGATTGCTGCAGTGCACCTTTGTCTTCAAGTGGCGCATAAAGCTCGTTATGGCCATGCGACAGTCGCAGAGCGTGCAGCGGCATTGCTGAGGATTGGTATCTGGTAACAATTCACACCAGTCACTGGGATCCGTGGTCTCTAAGCCGGCGCCAACGACAGTCATAACGTTTGAGTCTTCATTTTGAGCTTTTGGCTCCGACGCCGCATCAACTGAATTGTCCTCTTGGCTTGCGCTGCGCTTGCGTTTACGCGCTGACTTCTCCTGATGTGTCCGCTGTGCCTCACAGTGACCCTTGCTGGTCTCGTGCCGCTTGCGCAAGTAGACAAACTCAACGTTCATGCGCACATTACAGTACTTGCACAGGCCAATGGTGCCCTCCGGCTGGATTCGCTCGAGCCACTGATGCCAATTTAACCAGCGCATCCAATTGAAGTTGTTTAGCTTCTCCACTTCGTTGGCACGCTTCTGCTTCATGGCGGCCACATAGTTATCGGTGCCAAATTCATGCTTCACCTCATGTTCACTAGTGCTTGGGGAATAGAAGAAATGGGTAATTATGGAGAAGGCAGCTACCAATAATAGCTACTAACCCAAGCCGAGCATAATCATCACTATTCTTAAAGGCTAAGTAGTTGTTCTCACGCTCCTGGTGGTAAAGCGACAGGTTGTGCTGTTGTACATGCTTGAGCTTCTTGTTCACATTTATAACCACATTGCAGTAGAGACAGAAGGCGTAGTCGCCGTCGCTCTCCTCGTGCAGCAGCCAGGGCCAGCGTTTCATCCAAATCTGCCATCGCTCTCTGCGGCTAATGCGACGCGAGCCACTGCTGCTTGCCTCATCGGCGCTTTCTTCCTCGTCGTCATCGTCCACCTCCTTGCTTGAATCAATTCGTTCCAGTAGGCCCATAGGATCGGGTCCATTGTAAGAGCCTGTACTTTCAACGTCACTGCTGGGCTCTGTCTTTGTGGACGCTTTCTCATCCTCCAGCGGATCCTCCGTTGATTTCTTCTCATGCTCGTTATCAATTAATACCGTCGGCAATTCGGACACTGAGGGGTCATTGACGACTTCCACATCGTCATCGTCCAGCTCAATAGTAAGTGTAGTTTCCGCTGTAACTGCGCCCTCGACATCCATTATTTTCAACTCGTGCTCGACCGTCTTTTCTTTATTTATCGGCTTTTCGGACGAAGACGCCATTTTGTTGCCAATACCGGCATCGTCTGGCTTTGGTGAGGAAGTCTCACCAGTTCGTCCGTTCTCCAATTCCATTTCTGCCTAAGCAGAATTACTCTCTCTTTTAATAAAAAGCGAGTTTACCGCTCTTCACACCATGCGTTTTAATTGCAAAATATAACACTTTTAAATTAAATTGAAATCGCGAAATTTGCACAACAGCCGAGAAGTCTGCGTTTAACTATAGGCATCGATAGAAAAACATTCGATTTCCCGATAACTGCAAGCGCATGACAAGAATATATCGATTGTTCAACAAGGAAGCTAATTTGAAAAATATCGCATATACTTACCCTCACAAACACACATTTGTTACTTAAATGATGTCAACTTTGCGTTTGTTGACTATTAAATCCTAAAAAAAACCTGATTTTTCCGTAATTCATTATTTTCAGCATTGTTCATTCCCAGTCTTGGCTAACTCAGCAATCTAGAGTTAACCGATAGTCTATGTACATTTCACCAATTTCTATCGATATTTTTTGTTTTGCTGTTTTTTTTTTTAATAGGGTCACACTGTTGCGGCGTTTGTTATTGTTAATTTGGTGATGCATAGAATTTAGTAAAGTTTTAAGCAACATGACGATTTTTAATTTGTACATATTTGACAAAATGGGCACTCTAATGCATTACGCAGAGTGGAACCGTACCAAAAAATCGGGCATAACCCGTGAGGAGGTGGGCACCGTTCTACGTCATGTTAATAAAAACCGAGCGAATGCCAACAATTATTTTTTTGTTTATATTCCCAGGAAGCAAAGCTAACATATGGCATGCTATTCTCCATCAAGTCCTTTGTCAGCAAAATATCACCACACGATCCGCGTGAAGGATTTCTCTACTATAAAACAAATCGCTATGCGCTACATTATCTGGAAACGCCCTCGGGATTAAAGTGAGAGCAACTGTTGCAGCTCTGAGCTGAGTTGAATTTAATTGTCGATTTATTTAGATTTGTACTAAACACTGACACGGCAGCCATCAATGTCAAGGAACTGCTGCAGCAGCTATACGCCAAAGTCTGGGTGGAGTATGTGGTGCGTGATCCACTGTGGACGCCCGGCACAGTGGTCACCTCGGAGTTGTTCCAGAGCAAACTTGACGAGTTCATCAAACAGTCGCCTATTTTTGGCATAAGAAATATTTAGACTAAGCCCACTGTATAGTTAATAGATACGTATAAAACTCCAAATCATGTGTCATAAGCGTACAGCCTCTCCAAATTGTAGTCGTTGGCAGCTGCAGAGGCCTCCAATTATGCCCGTGCTTTAAATACATACAAGTGGAGCACACGACGGAAATGCGAAATGGTCCACAGCGGCATATGAAAGAGGCCGCCAAAACTTGCGCAAGGGCCAGCTTTAAGATCTGTAATTTTCAATTGCATATCATTTTTTCTGTATTTTCGTGAAATTCGTTAGCTTTTCGCATATGACAACTGTTGCTGCTGCCGCACGCGATTAAATCTGTGCGCGACTCGCCCCCAACGCCAGTTACTTTTAGGCTGGCTCCACTCGCATCAAGGGTTTTGCGCAATCCTCATAACTATGGAAAATGATTTGCAAAATGCCACAGGCTGCGCGCACATGGAAATACCCAGAGCCAAGCGACAGAAGTAGAGAAGAGCCAGCTAGACAGAGAGAGAAAGAGAGAGAGAGAGAGATACATATATATGTACTATAGGTTCGACTTTGGTTTACGTTTTCTTTTCAAAAAAACCTGTCGCTGCTGCACCGTTAGCAACCTTTTGGGCATGCTAATACATATACATACCCACATATGCATGCCTACATACAATCATATTTATGTAAACATATATGAATTTATGTATACCCTTGCGATGAGTATGTTAGCTGGGTCACGAAATTTGCAACGCTTTTAGATACACGCAATACCTAACTGCCCAAAAAGTGAGCAGATTTTCAATAAAAATAAATAATAATGTTAAAAAAATAAGAGAAAAAAATTTAGATGCCCGAATTTATGGCCAAGCCTTAAGCCCGAGCTTTGGCACGTCAAATTTTTTAAATTTAAAATAAATCAATTTAGTTAATTATATTTATTATTATTTTATAAATAAGTATTAATAGTACAAAAGAAAACAAAAAGGGGCTAATTTCAATAATAAATAGAATTTTTTTTTTTTAAAACTTGTTTTGTTCCAGATATCTGCAGAGCATTTACACTTCGGCACAGCAAATGTGACTTATTTATTTTTGTGTACTTTTGTTTTTTTTTTTTTTGCTAGCTTTTACGATGTCTCACTTATACAAAATTCACACAAGTCATCTGCAGTTTTTGGTCTAAATGTGTTTTGTATCTGTTTTGTTTTTATTTTTATTTTTGTCACACTGTCGCTTGGGTCAAATTCGAAACCGGGTTTCAACAGTGCATTGCAAAAGCTGCGAAGACAATAAAAATTGAACCGCAAAGCGGGTTTTTAGGCCTGCGACTTTTCTGTCGTCTTAGATATAGTCATACAGCTAGTAGGGCTAGTAGTATTTCATAGATACACAAAAAACAAAACCTATTTTGAGTTAATCAACTGAACTGTCACGTGGAGGCGCCAGCATCTTACAAAATGCCCTTTCCAAAACTGCGTTTATGCATGGGAGTTTTTCATTTGTTGTGTTTTTTTTATTTTTTATTTTAGTTTATTTGCATTTATATAAGTATTCAGATTTATGTTTATCAAATACAGATACCGGTTGGCCCGAGTCGGCTTGTTGACTTTCAATTTGCTAGTTGGCTTTGATTTTGCTTATCGCGGACACGATCACGATTACGATCGGTTCAGCAACCCAATTAGCCCGGGCTCGAACCCGTTCGAACCTCATGTTACGCTCTGGCGCTTTTTTGTGATCTGCATTTTGGTTTCCCCAGTTTGTATGCTCTTGTCAAGGACAAATTGGGGCAGGAGACATCTCCTACTCCATCAGGTATATATATTCTAGATCAGCATCAACAGTCTGTCCGGTCGCCCGCCTCTCAGTTTCTATACGAACTGGTCTCCCAGTTTTAAGGCAGTACTTATGTCGGATATGGTCGCATCGAAACACTATATCATGTAGCTGCTATCGGAACGATCAGTCGAAAACCTTTTTGTTTTTTCCAGATATCTTATGCTCCTCATTTATACCAAATCTTAAATACATCGCACTACTATATCATATAGCTGCTGTCGGAACAATCAGTCGTAGATTTAGTTCTTGAATGAAAAACTTTTTTGTTTTTCAAATTATCGTAACCAAACTCGGCATTTATGAGTCTTACCATGCTTCCCACATATATGCGGAGTCTTATCAAAATCGGAGCACTATATCATATAGCTGCCATAGCTGTTGATCGATCGAAAAGTATTTTTTTGTAGGCAAAATATTTTCAGCAATTTCAGCATACGCGAGCATTTACCATTCAATTCCAAAGTCAAATACTTGCAAGGGTATTAAGTCGTCGGCATGCTGCGGACTTTCCTACTTTCTCATCTTATTTGATTTGATTTGATTTTTTGTGGTTTTGGGCTGCGCAAATGTTACGCAAATCACGAACCACTCTCAATGAATTCCATTTTCGTCAACCGAATAGTTTACAAGGTTATTAACGGTTTGTTGGGCCGCAACGACTTGGAAAATGAAAACAAGAAAATAATGTGCACATGCCCCAACATTCCCTCGATATTACAAAAAAAAATTATATATATATATATAAACACAAAAGCAGCTGCGGGAGGGTCATTATGAATCTCCATTGTTGGCGCCTGGGAATTTGCTGTTTAGCGTTATAATTGCTAACTTTGAGCAACAATTACTGTTCAAATTTTCAGTTTAGCTCAATTAAAGGTGAAAGATGAGTGCGGCTAACTTTTCATTTAGCTGCTAACTAAACCCAACTGGCGACTGTGACAGCAACTGAGGGGCGCCCGCCCACGCGGACTGTGAAAGGGCCTTGGACTTGGCTTTTTTTTACGAACACAATCTCTTTGCCATTGTTGACCAACAGGCCAAGCTCGATGCCAATGAAGTCAACTAAAATAATATGTAAATGCGTTACGAGCCTAAAATTAGAACTCTGACTGATCGAGCGATGTGTGCGAAGCCTTTAGATGCTCTGTTCGGATCTTGATGTATCTGAGTTATAGAACTGAAATAGATTTGTGCGAATCAACTAAAGCTGCTGCTCAAGAGCCACAGTTCTGTTTTGCTGTCTTTCACATATCTTGGCCAAGTTTTATGAGGCGTCTATTTGCCAATTCTTAGGGCATAAAAAACACCAATCTCTTGTCTTTGGCCTTAACGTGTTTTACGAAACTATAAATACATTTGTTAGTCTTTGTTTTGGCTTTTAATTGCAAACACATTTTATTGAGCAACTTTTGCTAAAACTTGAGGGCTCCAACAAGGTAAATGCGCGTGTTTCCTAAAGAACGCTGCCCGTTTGGCCATATAAAGTAGGCGCGCTTCGCGTGGCCCTGAAAATCAGCATTAGCTATGCAAAACAATGTATCATATTAGATTTGTAAAACAAAAAAAAAAAAAAAAAAACAGCAACAAAAACAAAAAACAGCCACTTTTTATATGTGGGCAGGGAATTTGATTGGACTGAAAGCGGCACACGCTCGGGTCAGATTAATACAATGTGCATAAGAAATGAAGCTACAAAAAAACTGGACATAAATTAATAGATTCTGAGAGTTCGGATTGTTTCCTAGCAACAGATAAGCGCTAAAACGAACTGCCTAAAACCTGCTCAAAGTAAGCATAATTTTCAGCTTATTCTTTAGCTAAATCTTTGGAGTTATTTGATTCGTCGATCAAATTAAATAATTGTTCTTGATTTGATCCGGTTAGCAAATATTTGATCTTTATTTTCAGTCAACTCTTTCACTTTATCTTTGGATGATCCTTTCATCAAATATTTAATATATATATATATAAAATAAACCAGACTCAAGTAAGCATCATTTTTGATCGATAGATCACTATTTGATCTTGTTTAAGATTATTTGATCTTTAAAGTAGACCAGCTTCGTATTAGCACATTACCTCTCATGTCTTTAGCCTTATTTGGTATTTTGATCCCATTAATTAAAGTAAGGATATCTATCACTCTAGTCTGTTTTGATCTTTTGATCAAGTGTTGATCTTTATTTGATTCCCTTGATTCAATACTATACTGTGGTCAACTGTTTGAAGTTCTTTTGATCTTTTGATTTAATTTTTGTTTAACAGTGTTATATGTAAGGTCTTTGGCATATCTTTGGATGTATTTGATTTTCTTCCAGCCTCGAGCAAGGATAATTTTAAGTAAAGTTTTTGATCTTTGACAATATACCAGCCTTAATGAACGATAATTTTTTTTTTTGCTTGACGATATCTTTGGGCTCATCTGATGTCAACTGTGTTTGTTGGCTTGTCACTAATTAAGACAAATTCGGCCCATGAAGCTCAGGCAACTGCAACTAACAAGGCCCGAGAGCTTTACGCACCAATGACAGACTTGGCGCAAACGATTTTCGGCCCATATTGGTATAAGCTAAAGTAGTTGACCTTTTTTATGCGCAATGGCCAAGAGTCAATGAAGGACGGGCCATGGATCTCGATCCATACACTGTTAAATATTTCAATTTCAATAAAATTTAATGAGACATGAGGCTGACTGATGAATCGCCCGCCTGCTGCACTGGCCAAGTGGTGCATCAGGAATTCCCCTAGGCGAACGTGAGCCAGGCACAGAACCACTTTTCAAGGTTCTAGGCCTGGCCTACCAGCCAACTGGCACGTAGGCCAACTCGTTGGCGCATTGAGCTGGACGGGTTAATCGATTTTGGCGCAATTAACTAGCGACTCCTGGAATTTAATTCATGCGCTGACTGTGCTGCAAAAAAGAGGCTCCCTTTGGCTAGACTTTGGCTTGGTTTGACTTGGACTTGGACTTGGACTTTGGCCAGATACGGACTTGGTCACGTAGGCCAAAGACTAACGAAACCAGTTGGCAATTGCCCTGGACATAGTTTGGCGGCTGCATTCGAGATACATTTAACAAAAGGTAGTTTTGTTATTTCTGTCTTCTTCTCTGACGCATCGCGCATTTGCATTTTGTCATTTTAGTCAGGGCGTCAAGCGAGCATCTGTCAACGGAAATTAAACTGTGCCGCGTGGGACTGAGCCCAGGGGTCAGTGGGTGTTGCTCCAGTTGTAGGGCAAGT